CGGGTCCGGGCTGGGGATTCGAACCCGCCACCTTAGGTGTACGTGGCTGGCGCCTTAGCCGGTTGAGCTATAGGCGCCGAGCCTCCAGTGTTATTGTTTTTGGCTTATCAAACTAGATCATGGAAAATCTCAAGGACAGCACTTTGGGAAACTTTCCAATCTGAGCACCTCTCCTTGGGCACCCGTGAAGTTGTCCAGTACCAATCAACTCTGGGCTTTTCATTGCTGCTGCTGCAATCCTGAGCTACAGCAAAGACTGTGCTAATGTGCTTCTTTTTGTTGGTTGCAGCAATAGGAAATGCCTTTGCAGTCCTGAGCAATCCTGATAAGAGACTTCGCTATGACGAATATGGAGATGAGCAAGCTACTGTCACTGCCCCTCGAGCCAGACCTTATAATTATTATAGGGACTTCGAAGCTGACATTACTCCAGAAGAGCTATTCAACGTCTTCTTTGGAGGGCATTTTCCTACAGGTCAGAATCCCAAAATTGTCATTCTTTTTTTTTTTTCTTTTCTGAGACAGAGTCTCACTATGTCACCCTCAGTAGAGTGCTGTGGCATCACAGCTCATAGCAACCTCAAACTCTTTGGCTTAAGAGAGTCTCTTGCCTCAGCCTCCCAAGAAGCTGGGACTACATCTGGCTATTATTTATTGTTGTTTAGCGGGCTTGGACTGAGCTTGAACTGGCAGCCTCAGTGTATGTGGCAGGCACCCTACTCACTGAGCTATGGGCACCAAGCCTTTTTTTATTTTTTGAGATAGAGTCTCACTTGATCACTCTCGATAGAGTGCTGTGGTGTCATAGCTCACAGCCACCTTAAACTTGTGGGCTCAAGTGATCCTCTTTCCTCATCCTTCCAAATAGCTGGGACTACAGGCATGTGCTGCCATGCCTGGCTAGTTTTTCTATTTTTAGTAGAGATGGGGTCTCTCTCTCAGACCAGCCTGAGCTGGTCGTAAACTCCTGAGCTCAAGCAATCCACCCACCTCAACCTCCCAGAATGTTAGGATTACAGGAGTGAGCCACCACGCCCAACCCCAAAATTATCATTCTTAAAATATGTATTTATGGCTCTCAGCAAGCTCCTGTATGAAGATATGAATAGAGGGACTGTAGTATGGTGGAAACAGCAAGAATTTGGAATTGGTTGAACAGGAATTTGAGGCAAGTCTCCAGTATCCAGCTGGGCCTAATTTTGACCAAATCATTTAATTTCTTTGACCCTGCTTTCCCACCTGAAAAATGGGCTGATAATAATACCTATTTCACAGGTTCACTGTGAGGATTAGACACTTTTAAGTGCTCTACATAACAAATAACAAGGCTCTGCGCCTGTGGCTCAAGCAGCTAAGGCGCCAGCCACATACATCTAAGGTGGCGGGTTCGAATCCCCAGCCCGGGCCCACCAAACAACAATGATGGCTGCAACCAAAAAAAAAATGGCCGGCG